AAATAAATAAGTAAATGTACAAATATATTAATATATAAATAAATAAAGTTCAATCTGCGAAACGTTCGCAAATTTAGGAGAGGTGGAAGGTTTAGGTGAAACACTCAGAACAGGTCTTGAGCCATAATCCGTTTTTAGTACCATACTGTACCGTTTCATTTGCTACGCGTCGTACCTATCGGACCAACATATATAGCGCCTGGCATCAGTTTGAGGGCATTCTTTCTCAATTGGGAACTGGTTGGAAACTCTTTGTGAACGCATGTCATTCGAAAAACGCAGGCGAGCTTTAACTGTTGGGTCTAGCCTCGAGACATATTCATGCACCAGCTTTGAAACTTCGGGGATGCTCCATAACTGCTCCTTTCTTATTCAAGTTGTCCGACCTGGAATCTCTGGCAGTGTCGCAGTTTTTCTTCCCCACAATAGTGAAAAAGACGCTACCAGTAACTGAAGGTGTGTACATCTCCTTCGAGGTAACTGTGACATCGGTTATAAGCATGTTAGCGGTCGTGCCTCTAAGCTCTATTCACTCTCTGTGAGAGCGAGCAAACAGATGCGGCTCTGTGAACCTTCTCCAACTCATTGATCGCAAGTTTTTTCGCTCTTTTCAGAACAGCATCAGAATGGGTGGAATGCCTGTGTCAGTGACCCCCCCCCCTTCCCCTCCAACAAAAAATAACAGAGCCTCTTCGCAGCACCGTTGAGTGTAAAATTAGCGAGTACGTATACTTCTCATCCCTACGACGTACATAGTAGGCGTGGCATTTGAACATGGTGCAGAATGGGTTACTGGTGGGATATTTCAGTCTTCTGAGAAAACTCATCCTGTTCAGTGTTCGACAGAGACACGACAACAAATGTGTCAAAATAAAATTACCTCTCCTAAAGCACAGCCATCGCCACCTTTAGTCGAAGTACGCAGCCACGCTACCACTCAAAGATTTAAAGGCAGCTGGCACGATAAATCCTCAAAGACGAGTAGGACTAATATGCCTGGCAGGACGGAATTCCGCGACCCTGAGCAGGCGCTGCATAATGCTTTTTCCATGCAAGGTACCTTTTGAGGGTATTA